CCGTCAAGGTTTCTGGCCTACTACTTACAGCGATGGGTTCGTTACATCAGCTGGTCCCGCCCACCGCGGGATGTGGTGCGTGGCTGGCCTAACGTGTGAGATCAGCTAGGTTGATTGCCGTATCAACCGATGGAACGGCTGGCATATCCGGAAAACTCGTTTGGACGTGGCTCTCCCCCGAGCAAGCCTCCTTCACTGCTAGAAGGGAAGGGGTTTCGATTTCGGCCTTGTCGACGGTTTCTTTGCGTTTTTTCTTCACTGTCGTTCCACCTCCCATCTCTACACTCAATTTCAGGCGCCATAATGCCCAAACACGAGCCTGACTTTTGCCTTTAAGCCATGGGTTAACCAGTTTGTATAAGTACTCCACATCCTGAACACTCCCCAATTACCAATACAGCACCAAGAAAAAAAGATTTTGAAAACTGACTTAAAGCTACTGCCACCGCAAGAGTAATCGCATGTCCAACGACGACCAGCGATTCGCTCCTCTCCTCTCCGGCCAAACTTCGTAGCACGAAATCTATCCGTCGTATTCCTTCCATTTCAGATTCCTTCCCGAACATTTTTGACAAGGCGTCCATCGATATGATGGGAGAACTGATGTAGAATTAATTGCATAGAAAAGTTCGAAAATGGTCCAGAATTACAATAAATAAATGAGTAGATAAATAGTTCTTGATTGGTGCTTTGGTAATTCAAACAGCTGCTCAACCCTACCGTACCCATTCAGCCCTCGGTCATTTCTCCTCATCATTCGCTATGTTGTGTGAGGGACGATTCTCAAAAGGAGCACCAGTCATGGGACACTAATAAGTCCACCATTAATCTCGAGCTTTTGAGTAACATGAAATATTCCTTATGTAAGAGGTCAAAACATTTTTGTGAATGTGCCATTCTCTCATTCAGCATTGCAGCGGTATTTGAAGAGGGCTAGCCGATGTACAACTCAGCACTCGTACCCCTCTCCACTCCCCTGCAACCTCGCGTGTTTTGACTTCTTTGATGCCCTGTCCCACCATCGTACCGCATCCCACGTTACAGTAGGTTAAGGCCTTAGTTTCAGCATTTCTGATGAGTTTTCTTGTTCTCCTTTCCACTTCCAGTTCATTCCGCAGCTCAGTCATCGCTAAGGAGCGCCCATTTACACCAGTTTTATTCCGGGGTCGCCTTAAAGGCAAACCCCGGGATTAGCCCGACTAGTAGGAAGGATACCGCGAGGGAAATTGTAAGACCCGTACCTACCTAGATCACTTCAACTTGGTCGCGAAAATCGCGCGGTTAGGGCGCTAATCCTTACGGGCCTCCAACCATCGAACGCTTCCCACCCACCGCGAGATGTGGTGAGATCAGCGTGCTCTCTCAAACGACGTTCTCTCGCGTGTTTTGACCTCTCTGATCGCCCTGTCTTGCCGTCGTACCACATCCGACCTTTTTGAAGGTTAAGGCCTTAAGTTCAGCGTTCCCAAAGAGTTCTCTCGCTTCCCTCTCCACTTTGGGGTCGCAGCTAAGCTTAAGCTATCACTAAGCTATCACTGCGAAGCGCTCTAAGCACCAGTTCAATTCCCGGAGTGCCTTCCAGCGATTGACACGTAACGTGCGCGGGAAGGCGGCGTTACTTGCCACTACATTGCTTCCACTGAAAATTTTGCCCCACTTAAAGACTGGGAAAATGGCCAAATAAGGTTTGTTATAACTTACTAGCTAGCACCTATAGGATATATTTGAGCGAGTTCTTCGATACGAAAGTTCGGTAGCTTCTTGCTCACACTGCGATACCATGCTAACGGCTCGATTAGGCCGGGTTCTATCTGCAAAGCTTGCTTTTTCTAGACTGTAGCTATCACCGCCCTCATGATTTATAAAGTTCTCTCACAGCCAAGTCCGCTTTCAGAAACTTTGCTATCGATTCAGCAGTCTGGATCGAACGGAGGGTTGGCGAACAGATCAGCAATTTTGCCGACAATCCACGATTGCACAAGGCGCGACCAGTCAACTGAGTATAGTACTTGCCTGGAAATATTTGACAGCAAGTATTTTTTCATATATGGAAATTCGTATGAAAATTCGAAGTGAGATGGCTTAGAACGTGAGTTTCACTCACCAAATGATGTAATTGGTGGGTTTCCGAGGAAAACACCTTCATCGAGAAATTTTTCGGAAATTGAGTTATTTGGTACGTTCAGGTCCGTGGGCACTAACTAAAACAGCCTAGCATAATCTAGCAAGAACAGTAAATTGAATTCCTGTTTTTGCTCCAGCTTTGCATCGCAAGGGTTCGGCCATTCGCAGACGAGTGTGTGGGCATGATTCTGCTGCAATGGTACCGCAACCCATAAATTCGATCAGTGATATTCTTGGAAGCTTCTTGGAACATACAGGCATTTCTTGCCCTCAAGAGAAATGAAAGTCGAATACACAATGGGTAGACTCGCAGCGATGACTCTTCCTTGCCGCGGCCAACACGAATCGTAACAGTTCTGACGCATGCCTTTGAAGGCACCACCAAAATGGGGCGAACTACGGTGGTCCACGCTGTTGATCCGTTCTGCTCACCTCAGTAGTACAGGTTTCATAACTATAAGGTCACCCTAAAATATTGCATTTCCGGGACCAGCAGCCAACTGGTGATTTTTCCACTATCACCAAATGATTCCCCACTACGAATAACCCCTGTATCGCAATTTTGGTGGGAGCAGCTTTTCTTCGAACTTTTTTGTAATTATTTTTCGATTTTTGCACCGTTTCATAATATAAGGTCACCCTGAGAAAAAGAACAATTACCTAAGATTAATGACAGATAAAAAAGACATAATAATGTATGGTTCCTCCTTTATCAAGGGCAACACCGAATAGTCTCCGTGGCCTACCGGAATTGAGATTCCAAGGCAGATCACCATCGATTCACTTCCGTGTTCAAGGGTTGCTTGTACACGCTCTTGTGTAATTTTTAACTGGCGTTTATCCGCACTATTCTTCATGACGAAGATGCCCCTGAGATATTCTACTAAAATACGACTAGAACTTCAGAATAATCTGTTCAGTTCATCAGAGTTTCGAGAGAAATGCTGGTTGAGTGACCTACATACATGGGTACCTGTGCTGTTCTGTATGACCACGTAGGCTAGCCGACTTCATCAGCTCAAGGGAGAGGCCAGTTAAACTTCGGCAAGGCTCCCCTATGTCTATATCTTGGTGTCCATCGATGTAGTTCACGAACGCAAAAATGTTGACACAACATCATTACAAAAAGCACCCACACCTCTGACATCTCCTTAACTAAAATTGCAAGCGCTGAAGTGAATCGGCCACCTTCGCAAGTCACTTCAAAGTGTTTATATCCGCAGGATCTGTTTGCATAAACCAGTTTTGTCCAAAAAATACCAACTTTACTGGAATTATCCGCGTGTGTACGATAGTTAGAATAATCGTTGCTTAGTTCGTCAGAATTCGATTGAAATGCTGCTTCTGGTTGAGTGACCTCCAGAAGCCCCCTCACCTTCTGTTGGACTTGGGAGTCACCTGATGGACAGTTCCATAACGAGATAGACCACATCATCTTCAATCGAAGGTTTTGCCTGACCGACGTCGCTGTTGTTCCAAAGTTCTACACGGGATCGGACCATCGTCTCCTCCGCGCAAGATTCCACTTCTCGATGCGTGTTGAGAGAGCAGCAAAGTTCAGGAAGCGAAGCCCCAGGACAACCATCAACTGGGACCACTTCGCTTCCCTTGTCAGCTTATGGGAGGATTCCGTTATCGAGAACATCGACGAGGAATATCATCGGCTCGTTGAACACCTTCACGAGAGTGGCAGGAAGGCAGAGAGTTTGCAAGTCACCAAAGGACGTCTGTCTACGGAAACTCTCGAGCTGATACGCCAACGTGGAGCCGCACGAGCTGCAGGCAATCACCAACTCACGTCCGAGCTTGCGAAGCTATGCAGAGAGGCGATAAAGGAAGATCTCAAGGAGCGAAGAGCAGCAGTATTAGCTGAAGCAGCAGAGGCTGGGAGGAGCATCCGCAATGCCCGCCGAAGCTTTGCCAGCTACAAGACCAAGATGACCTGCCTCCGACGTCCGGATGGAACAGTTACTGCATCCCGAAGGGCAATGGAGAAAGTCATCCACGACTTCTACTCGGATCTCTTCGATAGCCATGTCCATCTGCCCACTTATCAACTGCAACAGGATGGATACGTCGTCCCCTCAGTTACTCTCTTCCGAAGTCCGACACGCCATCAAGTCGGTGAAGAATCGTACAGCACCCGGTCTCGACAGGGTCAAACCGGAACATCTGAAGAATGCGCCGCCAGTTATCATCAAAACTCTGGCTCGACTCTTCACGCGCTACCTGTCGGAATGCAAGGTACCCACTCCGTGGAAAACCAGCAGGACCGTGTTGCTGTACAAGAAGGGAGACCTGGACGACATTGGCAACTATCGCCCAATCTGCCTGCTGTCTGTAATCTACAAGCTATTCACTCGAGTCATCCTTAACAGGATCGGCAGAATACTAGATGAAGGACAGCCATGCGAGCAAGCAGGGTTTCGAAGAGGGTTCAGCACGATCGACCATATCCACACGGTTACAAGACTCATTGAAGTTTCACGAGAGTACAAGATGCCGCTTTGTCTCACGTTCATCGACTTGAAGAAGGCCTTCGACTCTGTGGAGACAGAAGCGGTCATCGAAGCCTTGGCAACCAGGGTCCCTACTCAGTACATCAAGATTCTTCGTGAGCTCTACAGCAACTTTACGACCAGAATCTCACCATTCTACAAGGAGGTCATCATCGACGTCAAGAGAGGGGTTCGACAGGGCGACACCATCTCGCCCAAACTCTTCAGCGCCGCTCTCGAGAACGTCATGCGTCAACTGGAATGGGAAGACATGGGAGTGAAGGTCGACGGCCGGCAACTACACCACCTTCGTTTTGCTGACGACATCGTTCTTATAACGCCGAACATCGAGCAAGCGGAGCGAATGCTGGCTGATTTCGACTGCGCCTGTGGTAAGGTTGGTCTACAGCTGAACCTAACGAAGACGATGTTTATGAGAAACGGATTGGTTCCTGATGCCCCATTCACGCTCAACGGAACGAACATCACCGAATGCTCCAGCTACGTGTACCTAGGTCGGGAAATCAATATGATGAACGATCTAGCTCCAGAGCTGAGCAGGAGGAAACGAGCGGCTTGGGGAGCGTAAAGAACATCGAGGGAGTAGTGAAGAAGACGAAGAACATCCGGCTCCGTGCCCACCTCTTCGATTCCGCTGTCCTTCCTGCCCTAACCTACGCCTCAGAGACTTGGACTCTGCGCAGGCAGGACGAGCATGCGGTCAGCGTTATCCAACGCGCTGTCGAGAGGACGATGCTAGGAGTAACCCTATACACGCAAGTGCAGAGGGGAATCCGGAGTGCCGAACTACGCCAACGATCGAAGATCAGGGACGCTGCCGTTTTCGCCAAGGAATCGAAGATAAGGTGGGCCGGACACGTCATGCGATTTTGCGATGACCGTTGGACCAGAGCGGTTACCGACTGGATCCCTCGGGACGTCAAACGAACACCTGGACGACCGCCGGCCCGATGGTCAGACTTCTTCACGAAAGCTCTGAACGAAAGGAATGAAGGACATCGTGTCCCTCGAGCGAGGAGGGTCCACTGGACAACTCTTGCACGCGACAGGGACGAATGGAGACGTTGCTGGCGCCCGCTCGAGCAATTCGATGATCAACGGGACGACAGGTGATACAGGTGATACAGGTGGTACGATTCGGGCCCAGGCTCAACCTAGGTCAATCTCTCTCTGAGCTTAACTTTACGGTTGAAGTTTCCCTGCCCGTGATGACAGTGAGCCTTCAATACCATCTTTTCCTTCTCCTGACAATGTCGCCTGCATTTTTACCGCTCTCCAATTCAAAATTTTCCAGATAGAATCAATAAATTACGCCTATGCTTGATTTCGAAAAGGAAGTACTGTTTGGGAGAGCCCTCATAACTCTTTTCTAATCATCTGGGAACCTTTTTATGGAGGCTTGACTTGCAGAATATCTGGAGACGTAGGAGCTTTTCCAATTATCCATGAGCAGTGCTAATGACTGTCCGAAGATCTTTGGAAAGACTCGCGAACCGTGCCAAGCACCATGAAATGCATAAACTTTACCTTTTCTTCAAAAGGCGAGTACGAAACATTCCATAAATTTAGCTACTGGGTGTGTTTGTAACAAACATTCAATTTCACAGGCAGGTTGGTTGTTTCCGATAATGTAGTATTCATTTTCATGGTGACCTTATACTATGGAACGGTGCAAAAATCGATATTTTTGCTTCCACACCGGTCTCTCTTCATTTTTCTTGAACCAGCGGTCTTATTTCGCTCCCCATCCATGAGGGGCGCTCTTGGTCCCTCATGGAAAGGGAGCGAAATAAGACCCTCTAAAGCGCCCTATTGCTGACCGACTTCCGCTTTTGGCCACATCCGGTGCTGAGGTCATCATCTTGGATGCACTATTCCACTTTTCAGCTAAAACAGCTCGAGACCGACTCAGAAGCCTACCAAACTGACCTGAAGCGTGCCCCCAACTATTTATGGCTGTCAATTCCGACGTCCATTGAAAGAGGTCTGGGTGAACTCGACAGGGTCAAGAATAATAGTCACAAACAAGGAGACAACAAGTGCTATGAACTTCCCAAGCAAGTCACTAGCGATAAAAATTGGCAGGAAATCAGATCGTTGTAGTGCCTACTACGCCCGATCTCTTTCGTATAGAAATGAGGCCTACCTGATTAATTACCCATAAGCAAAGATCAGAGAAAAGCGCTCCGCGTTGTGGCCAGTAAGGACAGCCACCACGCAGCACAATCTTGTTCACTAAAAAACATTGATAATGACGTTGCTAAATTCTCTCAGCAATCACATATCAAAGGAAATTTTCACCTGAAAGTCCACTCGACCACTGCTGAGATTTTCGGACGATAGCACCTTACGGTGAATGAAATCCGTGGCTCTAACTATTTTAGGTAATACTCTCCAGGTACGTCCCGAACTTGTTCGCTATTGCGCTCGAGAACATCATGAGGCGAATCTCGTTGCCCGGAGGAGTGAACATCGACGGCGTTCGCTTAACGCATCTCCTCTTCGCTGATGACTGTGTTCTGATAGGCGAGGACCCCGCCGACATTGCGCAATCCCTGAGCCTCATCAGGCAGGAAGCCGGCAAAATCGGACTACAAATTCATCCCGGCAAGACTCAGTGGATGCACAACGAACAAGTTCAGTACCAGCCGATCCTCCTAGAAGGCCAGGAGATCGAGCGAGTCTCCTCTTACGTATATCTCGGTAAAGCGGTCAACATGAATAACGATCTCACGCTCGAGA